TAAGGTCCCTCCCAGTCCAAACCAGTTTGGGACTGACATTTATGAAGCCCCAAATCTCCAGTGTCAAGGCTGGAGTGGCCCAACCTCAGTGCAGAGTCAGGATCTTCAGCAAAATAAAATGGATTTTTTTAGTTGAGCTTTTCTTGGGCAGGAACTCCAACCCAAAACTCCAACCCTGAGGCAGAAACTCCTGACAAGGAGCAGAGGAGCCTCCAGGACTGCTGGGCTGAGGGCTGGAGAGCAGAGCGAAGCAAACCCCGCTGAAACCCACAGGAAATGACTTTGCTTCCCTGCTCTCCTGCACAAGAGGAGTCACAATGAATAACTGCAATTCTCCTGTCATTTCCTGCAAATAATCATGGGCAAGGCCTGAGCATTGTCTGGGACTGAGAGCCTCTGCTCCTTTCCCTAATTAACCGCTCTGATTAACACCACAAAAACAACCGGGGCCCATTGTTTGAGGGATGGGCAAATCCAGGAGAATCCTTTCCTTGGAAAGCTCCAGGGCTTCCTGGGACACATTCTGGGGATTTCACTTCCACAACAGGAACAGGAACAGGAATTTCCCCATTCCCAATGAGCTGGGGAGGGAATTGTGCCCCTGAGCCCCAGCCCTCCCTCACAGCATCTTCCATCATCATCATCATTAGCTTACATATCTCTGTAAAATTATACAAAATTAATTTAATCCATTTTTCATTATTGCATATAATATTCTAAATATAATATAATATAACATAATATAACATAACAGCTTTGTGAAAACAACTTTTCCAACTTTTTCTTTCAAGATGAAACCCCAAAGATGCAAAGAAATCAGGAGAGGTTTGAAGCTCCTGCTGCTCATCTCTCCTCTAAGCTGTGCAAACCCAGCTGCTGNCTCATTGCTTGAATGTTTCCCTGGAATTCTCCTTCCTTGTGGTTCCCAGTGTGAAAATCCTGCAGGAATTCTACTCAGAACCAACAGTGAATGGCATTTCCTCTGTGCATTCAATTTGCTCTTTTATCAACCTGAATTTTTCCAAATTTTGGTGAAACCTGACAGCTTCTGGTTTGAAAAATCCTTTGGAAGGCACAAGAGGAGAGCAGAACTGCAGTGAGGTTATCAATCTTTATCACCACGGGGTTATCAGGAAATGTTTATCAATCTTTAACACCACCCAGTAAAAAAACCTCATTAAAAGCACCCAGCCCTGCCAGATTCCCTCTGCTGCTGCTTTTCTCCAACTCCAGCTCTGTGCAAATGTCCCACAAAAGCGTTAAGAAACAACAAATAATTCACTTTAAAAGAAAATATCTATAAAAGTAAAATAATTTTTTGGGTTGGGAGAGAGGATTTGCTCCTTCATGCAGCAAATCCTCTCCTCTCCACCAGGCAGCAGCAAAAAGAAAACCCTTCCAGTACTAACAGGATACATCATGTGTATTTTAAAGCAGAAATCTGCAGTTTTTATGGGACAAAAATGTGTATTTTAAAGCAGAAATCTGCAGTTTTTATGGGACAAAAATCCCATAAAATTTTGATTTATGGGAATACAGCATCAGAGAGAGTTCCAACCTGTGCAAACATGTATTCCAGGGAATTGGCATCCAGGATGGGGGTCCCCTCTGGGGCCAGCTTCTTGTCGTAGGCCTTGGCCCTCCTGGGGGAGTGGCGCCACACCGAGGGCTCGCTCTCGCTCGTCCCGTGCCAGTTGGTGAAATAGTATCTGCCAAAAAGCCAGAAACTTGGAAATGTATTGGGAAAATCCTCCATTTCTACAAGATATTCTGGGTTTTGGAAAGTAAAGTAGTTCAAAGCAAGAATTGTCCAAATTTCTGCCTGAAGGTTAAGTAGTGCAACATTCCAGCACGTTCCTGGCCTGAGGAACTGGGGGGAAATGATAAATTAATGTGGATTATTAGGGGTTTTTTCCTTTTTTTTTTTTTTTGTTAGAGAGATGGAGCACCTCTCCTGTGAGGAAAGAGATTTGGGAATGTTTATCTGGAGAGGAGAAGGATCCAGGGAGAGCTCAGGGCCTGAAGGGGCTCCAGGAGAGCTGGAAAGGGACAGGGGACAGGGATGGAGGGACAGACACAGGGAATGGCTGCCAGTGCCAGAGGGCAGGGATGGATGGGAGATTGGGGATTGGGAATTCCTGCCTGGGATGGAATCCCCAGAGCAGCCCCTGGATCCCTGGCAGTGCCCAAGGCCAGGCTGGANATTATAAAATGAATGTATAGCATAATATAAAATAATTAATTCTAAAATGAATATGAATAATGTGTTAATAATATAATATCTATAATGTCATATAGATAATATATCATGTAATATATTATATAATCATATATATATATGATATATATATGATATATATATTATATATATATGAGATACATATGAAATATATATATGAGATATATATATGATATATATATGAGATATATATATATGATATATATATATATGAGATATATATGAGATATATATATGAGATATATATATGAGATATATATGAGATATATATGAGATATATATATGAGATATATATATGATATATATATGATATATATATATAATATATCATATATATAATATATCATATATATATATGATGTAATATATCATATAATATAATATCATTAATTCTGGGATGTTTTTACCCACAGAAATTCCCATTCCCACTCACACTTGGCTTGAGCCTCCACTGGATGCCGTTGTTCCCCGTCACCATCACCTCGTACTTCTCGTTGTCCCCACAGCTGAATTTATTCATCTCATTCTCAGCAGAGATCAGCAGGAACGAGCTCTCAAAGATCTCAGCCCCATAATATTTGGTCAGCACCTCCATGGTGGATAAATATTTCACCTTCAGGTCCCGAGGGGAGACGCTGTTGTTACAGATGGTTTTGTTGTTGAACTCCTTGAGGAAATGCTTGAAAACGTTATTGATCCGGATCCTGGTCAAGAAATTCCTCTGCCTGATGGTTCTGTTGAGAGTCTCGGGGATATAATGCTTGTAACTGGGAGAAGGAAGGGATTAAATTGAATTAAATTAAATTGAATGAAATTAAATTCCTCGTGGGAGAGCAGCAGGGACAGAGGGGGGATCCCAGCTCACCTGATGTCCTTGGGAAGCTCTGGCAGCTTCACGTTTTTCTTGATGGCATCGTGGGAGATGGCCAGGACAGCCATGCCCAGACACTCATTCTCTATCTCATGGACCTCCTGCTCGTTTTTGGGGTCTCGGATGGGTGCCAGGCCCTTCACCAGGTCATACTGGCCCTGAACACAACAAAAAACCCAAATTACCCACTTGGCTTTCCCAGAGTTTGTCCCTGAGCCAGGAATTCATGCCAGGATCCTTGGGCAAGGAGAAGCTGGAACTTCCAACCCTTCTTTTATACACCAGCCCAGCAAAAATTCACTTTTTAAAAATGAACTACAGAAATCACCATCCTGGCCTATTTTAGTACCTTCAATATTTAGTTTCTGCTCCACAAATCCAATTTTTTGCCTCTGCTTTATCCCTGCCCTTGCCATCCCCTGGATTCATCTCCAAGCCAAGCCCTGCTCTGGGACAGCCTGGAAAGTGTTTGGGATGGGATGGGATGGGATGGNTTACTCTAAACCAAAAATTCATTCTAGAATAGCAACAGAAATTAATTATGCACTAGTTACAATTATAAACAATAATTATTATATAAATTATGAAATTAATCTAAACTATAGAATAATAAAAATAATTATTTGTTAGTGTGATTTATATAGTTACTATATAGATTATAAAATTAATCTAAATTATAGAAAAATAATGTCAAATATATAATATCATGTATTGCAATACAGTTACTCTAAACCAAAAATTCATTCTAGAATAGCAATAGAAATTAATTATGTATTAGTTACAATTATAAACAATAATTATTATATAAATTATGAAATTAATCTAAATTATAGAAAAATAAAAATAATTATTTGTTAGTTAGATTTATATAGTTACTATATAAATTATAAAATTAATCTAAATTATAGAAAAATAATGGCAAATATATAATATCATGTATTGCAATACAGTTACTCTAAACCAAAAATTCATTCCAGAACAATAACACAGATTAATTACTTATCAATTAGAATTTTAGGACGGAATTATTACAAAAAATTATAACATTAATCTCAATTATAGAATATAAAATACAGAATATACTGTATTGTAATACGTTTACTCGAAACCAAAAATTCATTCTAGAATAGCAATAGAAATTAATTATGCACTAGTTACAATTATAAACAATAATTACTATATAAATGATAAAATTAATCTAAATTATAGAATAATAAAAATAGTTATTTGTTAGATTTATATAGTTATTATAAAAAATATAAAATTAATCTAAATTATAGAATAATAATGTCAAATATATAATATCACGTATTGCAATACAGTTACTCTAAACCAAAAGTTCATTCTAGAATAGCGACAGAAATTAATTATGCACTAGTTACAATTATAAACAATAATTATATTATAAATGATAAAATTAATCTAAATTATAGAATAATAAAAATAATTATTTCTTAGTTAGATTTATATGGTTACTATATAGATTATAAAATTAATCTAAATTATAGAATAATAATGTCAAATATATAATATTATGTATTACAATACAGTTACTCTAAACCAAACATTCATTCCAGAACAATAATATAGATGAATTACTTATTAATTAGAATTTTAGGACAGAATTATTACAAAAATTATAACATTAAACTCAATTATAGAATATAAAATACAGAATATACTGTATTGTAATACGTTTACTCTAAACCAAAAATTCATTCTAGAATAGCGACAGAAATTAATTATGCACTAGTTACAATTATAAGCAATAATTATTATATAGATTACAAAATTAATCTAAATTATAGAATAATAAAAATAATTATTTGTTAGTTAGAGTTATATAGTTACTATATAAAATATAAAATTAATCTAAATTATAGAAAAATAATGGCAAATATATAATATCATGTATTGCAATACAGTTACTCTAAACCAAAAATTCATTCTAGAATGATATAAATTATATATTAATTAGAATGATAGAATAGAATTATTGTAGAAATTATAAAAAAATATAAATTATAGAATAAAAATATAATACTATAAAATATAGAATATCATGTACACCAAAAATTCATTCTAGAATAGTAACATTAATTATTTATTAGTTGGAATTCTAGAATAATTATATCAATGATAAAATAAAATTATATCAATGATAAAATAATATAAAATATAGAATGTAATGTATTGTAATACAATTTATTTTTACCTAAATTTTACCTATATTTTTACCTATATTTAACACCAATCACCCATATTTTTACCCATATTTTATCTATATTTTTACCTATATTTAACACCAATCACCCATATATTACCTATATTTTTACCTATATTTAACACCAATCACCCATATATTACCTATATTTTACTCTAAACCAAAAATTCATCCTAGAACAGTAATACCAATTCACGATTTATTAGTTCAAATTCTACAATACAAGTATTATATTCATTATAAAATGAATGTATAGCATAATATAAAATAATTAATTCTAAAAT